GCTTCCCATCGCTGGGTGGGAGGTTGACTTTCAAATAAGGAAAGAATCAGCCTTAAATGACTCCCAACGGTCATGCCTTCCCATCGATGGTTAAGCCTTCCCATCGCTGGGTTCCCATCGATGGGTAAAGCTTCCCATCGCTGGGTAAGGGCATTCTGCCTTGTGATAATATTGGACCAAGGCTTGAACAGCGATGGGTAGAGCTTCCCATCGCTGTTTGGCATGGTTCTGAAAGTTGGTTTGGCTAAGGGGCTACTTACCCATCGATGGGATGTTCTTCCCATCGCTCGGTGGGTGGTTAGCCAAAAACCTGTGGTTTTTGCCTTAACCACGGCCTAGCCAACCGATGCAGAAACCGACCGAAAAAAAACCAAAGATCTCCAAAATAAAAACCAAGTGTTTAAAACACTTATTTGATGTATTTGGCTAAGAAATCAAGTGAGACACTTTAAAAATCACGTCATTTGAGTAAAAACCACGGCTAGCCAAGTTTACGCCGTTTTGCGTGGTTTTTGTCAAACGACTAAAAGCGAGAGATGGTTTTCAAAGTGTTTTTGTTGGAGAACCGTTTAAACATGCCAAAAAGTGAAAGCAGATCATAAAATGCTGAAAACCACTTGGTTGGTTTGGATGCCAAAAACCAAACCCGACAACCGAAAGCCGAATGCTGGTTTCTGAAAGCCGAACACTGGATGGCTTGGTTTTTTGTTTGGGCGAACACCAAGTGTTTTTAATGACTTAAACAAGTTTAAAACCATTTTTATGATGTAAGAAATGCAATGAGAGTTTTTAGCCTAAAGAGCCAAAGTGTAAGGATTGGGTCGGTCTTGATCACAATAAAGACCGACTCAATACTATGATTAAGGTCTTCGTTTAGCTCTTGCTCTTATCTTCGTTCTTCGCCTTGTATATTCAATGTTTGACTTGATCACAGCGGTTTGGCATTATCAAAACCTGTTACAAAAACGAACACGGCTTTAGTACGAAAACGTTACAAGCCCGTGTTTCAACACTATACTCATGCGGAGACTCGCTCCCCAGACTTTCTCGCGCTGCCACGTCGACTTCCCTTGGATGTCGACGTCAAGGAATTTTGGAGGACTCACTCGCGCAGCACACATGACTTCAGCAACAAGTACAGCTCATCATCTGATTGGAAGAGTCCCGCGTGGAGGATACTTTGGGCGTCACAAGATTGCTAACAGAGTTTATGACACTGATCTCGTCTTCTTTTGGATCCTGGAGAACCACACACCTGTGGACCTTTCATCTTTCATTGACCAGTCGACAGGAAACCGCCATCATATCCAGGCAGGCCCGATTGTCACTCTGTGGCACGCGCCCTAGTTCCGGACATCGTCATCCCGGCCCTTTTTCCACTAGAGTCTAGTGTGCGGCCAATCTCTACTAAGTCCCTTATTCATATGGGATTCGGGAAGAGACCCTGCGACACTACATACCAACCAGATCAGGGCACGGGCAGTCCTTTATACATGCTGGAGAGCATGCCTACAGAGGGAGCCTCTTCTCCTTCAGTTCCACGTCCCTTACCTGCTACGTTCGATGAGTTGACTGCTGCTTTTGGTGATCTTCGGACATCGATTGACTCACGCTTCCAGCGTTATGAGGAGCGGCGGACCGCCTTTGAGCGAACTCAGGAGACTCGCTAGAAGGAAACCCAGGAGCATCAGCAGCGCGTTGAGTCCAGACTCTTAGAGCAGGGTACGCAGATCGCCCAGATCTTAGACTACATGGAGGGGCGGTATGGAGCTCATAGCTCCGCTGGCCAGAGAGGGCAGAGTCGCGGACGAGGACGTGGGCAGTGAGCCAGCCCTCTACACTAACATGTTTTTCCTGTTTTGTTTTATTTGAATTAGGAATGGTTGGAACTTCAGTTTCTTTTGAACACACCTTTGGTAAACTATTTTTATTTTTTATTACTTTTATTTACATAAGCATATTGTTTATCTTTAAGTGTGAGGACAACCTAGTATTTGCATGCAAGTTCTTCCACCATAACTCTAATTTCTGATCACTTTAAAACCCGCGAGGGCGCGGTTCTGTTTAAGTGTGAGGAGGAGAGAGTTATGGTTGAATCAATTTTTAGGAAATATTTATCTCTATATTTTTAGGAATATTATATAGATATTCATCAATTTCAGTTTTCTAAAAATCTCCATTACCCTAAAAATAGAAATTAATTTTTTTTGTCAAAACTTAGATTTTTGTGCAAATTTTTGAAAATTTTTGGTATAAATTGACAAATTTTGGTCTGAAAGTTGAATTAATATCTTGTTCTCTAATATTTAGATAAAAATTCATTCTACACAAAATAATTTGTAAGGTCAAATAATTTTTAATTGTTTTATTAGAAATCTATTAAGATACTGCTCCGCTATTTCTCAAAATATGAGCACTTATTGTTTCTTTTTAAAAGTTTCTTTTTCAAATAAAACATTTTTTGCGACACACTTTGGTGAGACCAACTTTTGGAGTGAATTGAAAGGTCAAAAATCGTTTGGTTCTACATCAAATGATGAGACTTATATTGAGCGAGTGCCGAAAAGCATGCGGTTCTATGTCGTGTGATGAGGCTTTTGAGTGAATAAAAATCCAAAAAAGCTTGTGGTTCTATGTCATGAGATGAGGATTAAAAGTTTTTTTACTTGGGTCAACATGACAAGGTGATGTTGTTAAAATAAAAAAAATTAATTACATTTTCAAGAAACAATTTTCTAATTAAACCATTAAAGATTCTTTGACCTTGTAAAATATTTTAGTTGCTGAAAAATTGTTATTTGGAGAACATGATTTTAATCACACCAACATTCTTAAATTTTGATCATACAAACCTGAATTGATTAAAATTGTATAAAAATATGAGTTTGACAAAAGATTTATTTTCTAACAATATGGGTATAAAATTCTTTTTACAAAATTAAGTTGATGACTGTCCAATATCTTAATCCTATAAATAGATTGTGTAAATATTTTCCATTCATAAGTTAAGTTGTCCTAATTCTTTTAGTTATTCAGTTTGTTGCTTGAGGGCAAGCAACGTTTAAGTATGAGGAATTTGATAAGTACATTTTGTACTTATTATTTTACTCATATTTAAATGTTTTGAGTATAAATAAATTTAATTTAAAACAAAAATAATGATTTTTCTTTTGTAAATATGTCAAAGTTGTCAGTTGTTTATAAAAAGTGTGTTCAAAACAAATTAGAAATTTTCAACTAAAAAAACTGGTTCAAATAGAGTAAAACTTTAAGGAAATAAATTTTTCGGAAAGGCTAGGCTCAAATATGTCCGAAGCTCCAGAAGGAGAAAATGTTCAGCACAAAATGAGGAATTTGTCACAAACATTGGGAGTCAAACGAAAAAAAAGGGCTAGGGCGACCTACCGGGCGGCCGCCCCGGACCCCGCCCCGGATTTAAACTTCAAATCAACGGCCAATGGTTTTGGGTGAAACCACGTGCGAGAAAACCAGGGGTCGCGCTGGGGCAACTTGCCGGGCGGCCGCCCCGGAGATTTTGATGCCTATAAAAGGCGCAGCTCGGCGATGTTCTTCACCATCATCTCACATTCTCTCCTCTCTTCTCTCTATTGGAGAAATTCAAACAAAAAAATATTCTTTAGTAAATTTTTGGAGTTTCAGTTCCAGATCTGTTCCTATTCCGCTTTTCTGGAAGTTGTAAGTTTCTTTTTATTATTTAATAAAAATGTTCTGTTATTTAAATTATTTACTTTTTACTATTATTATGTCTTTTTAAATATATTAAGAATATGAATTGAAATTAGGGTTGTGGATATGTAGGAAAAATAATTAAGTTGGAATATTAAATATAATTAATTAAAATGCTAGGTTGTTAGAAATTGTTTTATTATTGTAATTAATTAATCTGGCCAATTTATTAGTTAATCCTTGAAAAATTATTATGTCCATTTGTCTATGAATGAGAAAAAATAATTTAGTCAATCTATCCTAGCACATTATTTATGCCTAGAGATAGGATAAATTAATGGAAAGCTGTGACAGAACTAATCACCAGCCCAATTAATTTAATTATCCAACTTGTTAATTTATCTAATAAATGTCTACAATCTGAAATCAATTCATATTCCCTTTGTCACCAAATTGTTATTTTGCCCTTTCAAAATTGAACTCAACCAAAACCTTTCGAATTTAGAAGGCTTCCAACACCAGTGTGTATACTTTGCCTAACTAGATTTTAATAGAACATTTATTTTAACACCAATCCACGTGAATATGACACGAGAATAAATTGATCTCTTCTAGAGTGAAATGTACTACCACTAAAACTCTTGCGTGAGTACTCTTAACTAAACCTTAAGCTAGGCCTAGTTTAAGAGATTTTCAAAATCTTAAACTTACCTTCGCTTAAGGTCATCCAGAAACCGAATAGCGGAATGCTCATTGTCGGGTTGGGTGGTATCCCCAAACGAGTGCCTCAAGTTTGGTTTGTAGATCCCGTACATACGTTTTAACCTAGGCCACCGAATATTCATAATTATACCCGCAAGGCCTATTTCTAAGCTATCTTATAGGTCTTCTAGATAGTCTTAAAACCAACGTCAACCTAGGTATATCTTAGAGTTCTTCTAGATATCCTTACAATCCAAATCTTTTAATAATCATCAACATATTCATTTCATTCATAATTTAATCCTCAATAATCATTTTAATAAGGGGTTTCATCAAGTCATAATCATCATAATAATCATTCATCATAATTATCAATCAACATAACATTTGATAGCAAATAGCGGCCTAGCTTAGAGTGTTAACATCCGAACTTACTGTCATGCATCACATAACATTTTTATTTGTTAAAAATATCATTTTTATTGTGGTAAATCATTTTTATAATGAGCATAATCAATTGGTATCAAAAATAGGATTTTAGAGCTCAAAATAGCATTTTCGGACAAATTTCCGGATCAGAATTTCGAGGGATCGATCCAGTGCATTTGATCGATCATTGATAGAAAATTTATGCCCACGGGATCGATCCAAGAGGTATGATTGATCCTCTCTGCATATTTTCGAGCACTGTTCATCTTCTTCAACCTTCGGGTCCAATTTCGAAAATACTATTTTTGGTTACCGAACTTCATCGAAACTATATAGAGATGTTCTTCAAGGTTCATAGATCATTTTAGCATCATTAATTCATAGTTTTAACATCAATTTCATGGTTTATGATTCTTGGTTCTTCAAGCATATCAAACCCAAAACTCAACCAAACGACCGTTTGTGAACGTAGAAACGATCTATACGAACATTCTAGTCACTAGATATATCTACGGGCTTACCTCGAAGTTTAATGAAGGTTTTGAATATTTTCCGGCGAAACTTCTGGCGACTATATCTCACTGCTCTGGCGACCTCACACAAAGATGACAGCACCACTGCACTCTACTCTTAGCAAGGAACAAGATAGAAGGAAGAATGAATTGTTTTGGTGTAGAATTGAAGGAGCTAGCTCTCCTTAAATAGCCAAGTGAAGGAGAAGAAGCCAGGGAAGTCTGATACGTGAATCCTTTGTTGATTTTGTAATCGGCGAAATTGAACAGGGCACCGTTTGGTGTGTAGTCCCTGATTGGGACTAATTTTGGTTTCAGTCGGGGTACACTTTGTGGTTCAACTTTCTCTGAATTGAATTCCGTTTGCACCATTGCGATCGGGGAGTTAAACTATATTCAACGATATACTTTTTATATTGATTCGTTATACTTTTTCCTACATCATATTTTTGGTGTTTGACTTTGACAGAGTCAAAATTGATTTGTTTGACCTTTACTCAAAAAGGTGCTCATACTAAATTCATATTATTTATTCTCATGATTTATTTCAATAAATCATTTTAAAGTTTACATCATAAACACATTATTCATTTATTCCTGATTTTGGGTATGTACTCAGGTTCCCAACCAAGATTACACAATTAGTCAACATATTAGATTTATCTCTATGAGACTTATCCTGATAGTAATTTTGGATATCAAACACATATTATTTCGGCCCAAAGTCCAACGATAAATTATTTTAATCCAAGCAAATTTGATTAATGAAATAATTACTTATTAATAATTTTAGGGTATGTTTTAGAACATTACATTATAAGATTATTATATTTCCTGTACATCTCTTATTTCTAGGTCTCAATACTGTGCCAAAAAATGCTTAGCTAAAATAATTCTAAATCCTCATAGACAAAGCAAGAATTATTTTCCAATTATTTAATTAATAAAATGTTTAGATTATTATTTAGTTAAACCATTCCAAACGATTATTTCTAGGTGTTTGGAACGCATAGCTTAATTAATCTTTTTACCTCATAGACAAGATAACAGATGAATTTCCAAAGATTAGTTACTAATAAAAAAATTATTAATTAATAAACCTTAATTCATTTTCTAATAATTAATCCAATTACTAATAAATGGATGAAATTAAATTGGTTAAGTCCTAATTCTGAATCCTAACCCATATAAAATTACCAATTCATAATATTAAATAAAACATTCAATATCAGCCTAACAACATATAGAAATATGAAAGATATAACATTCATCAACAACATTGGAAATAAGAAACAAATATTTTATTATAAAAAGATCAACAAGTACAATGAAGAATTATAAAAACTTACAGTGCTCCAAAGCTAACAAATTGACTCTTGATGATGTGAATTACTAAAAAAAATATTTTAATATAATTTTTGGGAAGAAAGAGGGGATATTTTTCCCCTAAAAGGGAAGAAACGGAACAAGAATGGCTTCGGGAAGAAATGGAACCGCGGTGCTATTTATAGGAGGAAGAAGACCCGTAGGCAGGCAGCCCGCCGTTGCCTTTTCGTCGTTTATGGAAGACTCTAAAACTGGCGGAAGATTCAAGAATTGTCGAAAGGCGAGCTAGCAGACTCCCGCCTGCGTGCCGGAGCCTATTTTGAGGCCTGCGCCACTTTTTCGCCGTTGAAGCCCATTTTGCCGTCAGTTCAAATTCGGTAGGCGGCCAGGTAAGCGACTGCCTACTTAGTCACCTGTCATACCCGCATCACTTTTTATGATATTTTGCTAAAAATTTGATTTTGAACACTTTTTACTCATGCTCCAACTTTAAATTCGATTCTAAGAGGAAGATATATCTAATTTCTTGTTGAAATCAAACATATTTTTATCTTTTCTTGGCCTATTCAATTCTACTACTTTAATTATTAAAAGATTACTTTTAATTGAAAAATATTGTTTAATAATATGAAAACTTATTTTTATAGATCTAAAATAATGTTAAATGTGAGTATAAAATTAGGTGAAAAATGAGTTCATAAATCAATTAATTTTTAAATTGTTTCTTTAAAAATGTTGTTTCTCATAAAAGTCTATTCAAAATATAAGGGTCTATAAAGAATTTTCTAATGCTTTAACACCATCAATTTTGTTTGTTGGGATTGCGCTTAAGTGACGAATTCGAAATTTTATCTCCCTGATAGAGCTCTGCTTCTCCCGCCAACCACACAGAGAGAGCAAGTATGCATTTGTCATAAATAAATCCACAATCTTTGAATGCAATATGCCTTGGTGGCTCTGAGAATTCTCTCGTGATAAATAATACTTTATAAAGTGAATATGCTCTTATATTTTAACAAAAACCTTTTTTGAGACCCATTTTACTAGAGCTTTGGAATGCTTTTTTATCTTAAATTAATTCTTAGAAATATAATTGTTCCAATGACAACTTAGAAGTTAGTTTTGATTTAATTAGGTAAAAAAAATTGGTTTGACAAAATATTTTTAAATTTCTAACAATATGGGTGAATATCTATAAATTTACTTGTTCACGCAAAAATGTTGATGACCATCTTATCTTTCCTTTCCTTCAAGTTGTGTAGCTTAAACATTTCCTCTCTGAAAACTAATTTGTTTTCATACTTAAATTATTCAATTTGTTGCTTGAGGTCAAGGAATGTTTAAGTGTGAGGAATTTGATAAGTCTATTTTGTTCTTATTTCAATCTACATATTTTAAACGTTATTGCACGAAAATAGTAATATATTTGTCCATTAAAGGTGTCTATTATTGACAAAACTCATGTTTTGTCTCAAGAAGAATAAAATACAGGTTCCGAATTAAGTTAAGTGGATTTGTCAATTTTATGTCCCAAATTGGAGAAAAAGTTTTAGATTTTAAAGATCACAATGCTTCGGAGGTAGAAATCACTGTTTGGGAGCCAATTTGGGCAATATGGAACAAATTCGACCCCATAATTGCGAGGAGTCGCGATTGGAAGCAAAAAGGGCGCAGGATTCGGGTCCCGGGCATCCAAAGTTGGACGCCCGCGGTATTTTGACGCCCAAGTAAGGAGAGGGGATGTGGCTCTGCCAGACGATGCTATTGGACTGCACGGAACATGTGGTTAGGGTACGGGCGTCTAAAGTTTGACGCCCATAGGGTTGGACGCACGCACTTCCTGTCCTATAAATACCAAACGAGTTTGCACCATTCAACACATCATTCTCAACCCCATTCGTGTTTCCACCACTTATTTGCTTAATATTTCTTGTATATTAGCTTTAGTAGTATTTTTGAAGTAATTTTGGAGGGTTTGACTCCAGATTTGTTCTGTGCCACTTAATTGGAGTTCCGTAAGTTTTCTTGTTTATTAAAACAATGTTTTAATTTATGTTTACATAGTATGAGATAGGGTTAGGACCATTGGGCTAGAATAAATTGGATGTATACTTTGAATGTTAAATTAATGTTGGAATGATTAGTCTATTCTTCTTGCTATATTTAGTTAATTAATATCGAAAGATTTAATTAGCTATTAATTGAGGAAATATTATATGTCGAAAGGCTATCATATTTAAGGCAACATATTAATTACGAAACATAGAAATACGTAAGTTATAATAGAAATATTATTATTCCAATTATTAATTAAATATGAAAAAGTAGATCCAATTGATGTCCTGACCCTAGGTCTAGATCTACACTTATACTATGTGAAATTTATTTATTATTGTTACTCTGCTCTCTTCATAATCGTTCCGCGAAGACTTTCATAAATCTATCCTAACCTTCGTCTAATTAGAGAATTTAACTAATTCTCTTTGACCACTCCTCGAGAGACACGACAGAGAGAAATCTAACCCTTTACTGGAAAGGTTTACTACTCGAAAAACTACCCTGGACAAGGGGTATCTGGTCTTTGTATAATATTAGTCGAGGAGATCTAGTTTGTGCGATCGGCCCGTTAGTCGTTTATCAATTACTTATTTAGAGCGGCCCAGCCTGTTGGGCCGGCTCATTGGTCTTTGTATGTAAACCTTAGCCCTATCTCTCCCATTGTATATACCCCTCTTCTGGGAAGAGGGATGGGGGGATGGAGCTCATTCCATCAAGGGGACGGATGTTCTGAATCATATTCTAACTAGCACAATATTACTCTCGATCTACTTGACCCCATATTTGTGGACTCTTCGATCTAGTTCGATACTCTTTCGCCTAGTTGCCTAGGATCCCGGGTTCCTTAACCCCACATTGGTGCTCTCATTGAGAGTGTCGAACGCATCAAGCGCGCTCCAAGAAATGGTTGCGTCAAGGAGAGTGGCCACTGGCCAGTAACTCCACGGTTGGGATCCGTTTACTGATCGGGAATTCACAGTCCAGTCCTAGCCGACAAACTGAAACGCGCGGAAGACCGAAGGGCGAAGACGAGTCACCGCATCTTCACCGATGCCGGCTGCCAGCCTGACTGCGACGTCGTCCCACTCCCGCAAAACTTTAGTCTTTCGATCTTCCATTGGCACACGGAAGACCACCGCCGGCTTTGAAGCACAACGGGAGAGCCACGCCGTAGATCTACTGCAGATCCATCATCCCAGGGGCCAATTGACGACCACCGACCGGCATCTGCTCTTGCTCTAGCCACACAGTCCACCGGCAACGACCGTACGGACGCGACGACCAACAGGGGTCAACAACAGCAACTTCAGATTTAGTAACGGCTCTGGATTTGACGGCGGCTAAGGGCGTCGCTGTCCCTGTGGTCCACAGTCTCCGACGAGAACCGGCGACCAGCGGCGTGACCTGCAATCCCTACTGCCGACGAGAAGACAACATGGAGACCCCCAGCGCGTGCTCCCTCCCTCCAATTGGAAATTGAAGCTGCTGCCCCAGACAGTCCTCGACGAAGCTGCTGCAATTGAAGTTTGAATTTTCTTATTTCACACCGTTTCCTCCAGCGGGGCTGAGCGTGCTCCTCTGCCGCCGCTGGATGGTGCTTATTCACGTGCAATCTCGCGTCGAGTTCACTCCCACCGCACTCAATACATCTTCCTCGCCGTTGTGTTGCGTCGAGTGCCGGAACGGGCTGGAGCACGCCGGCACTGATGGTTGAAGCTCGCCGGCGCCATCACCTAAGCTAGCCGCTGGACATAGACCCTACCCCGTCAGAAGTCTGTCTTCACCCAGACATGATGCGTGATGTGCCAGCGAGAAAAGAGTTGCTTTCACAGTTTCCTAGACCGGGAGAAAAAACATAATGGAAAAAGAGAGTGGGGCCTCCATAAAGAATTATTGAAGAGACCACATTCAAAGTTTGACTAGAGAGCAATAAAAAAAGACAAGTGTTCTTACACCATCATCTCAACTATTTGATAATATTTACTCTATTATTATTACCATTACCTTGTCCACCACATGTGATCGGACCTCACGTGGACGATGGTATCATACTTTGTGTTCAACACTTTAAGACCTGATGTGGGACGAGTGCGAAACTTAATCTCACACCCCACACAGGCCAGCGACCTGCCTCAGGGCATGGCTCAGATCCAACTCATTTAGTCACTCCTTAGAGAGGCCGGGTAAAACCTCCCTACGAGGTGTTGAAGATCGTCCGCGACGATATTATCGTGAGGCCGAGGTAAGCCGTCCACTGCGACGCACTCCCATCCGTCTTACACGACGTGATCTCATTTCCTCTTCCACGAGGTCGAGGTAAGACGTCCGCCGCGATGCACTCCAATTCGTCTCCCACGACGAGATTTTATTTCCTCTTCTACGAGGCTGAGGTAAGCCCTCCCCGCGAGGCACTCCAAATCGTCCGCGGCGATACTATTCGCGAGGCCGAGGTAAGCCGTCCATCTCGACGCACTCCTATATATCCGTCTTCCACGACGTGAACTATTTGCTCTCGGATCTAAGGCGAGGGGTGCATCCTTTGTGCCTATCTCACTTACCCGAGCAGCTCTCATTTGAAGGCCCCGGTCTCATTAAGGATGACATCAAGGTTTGTTCCAGACCAGACTACTACACGATCGGCACTCTTCGCTGATAAGGTCTATCTTTTGTCCAAAACATTGGACCCAACTCATACGTTGACTTACTCTTCTCGGCTGCGTGGTGATCGGTCCACCCAAGCCCGCGAGCGCCTCGTGTTCTTTTTAGAACTTACTTTGCAGGTTAGAAGGATGAGAAGATCAAGCTCGGCCTCGACCACCTTGTGGAGCACTCGAGCTCGGCCTTCAACCACTCGAGCTCGGCCTCGACCACCTCGTGGAGCACTCGAGCTCGGCCTCAACCACTCTATGAGGCACTCAAGATCGGCCTCGGCCATCTCGTGAGGGAGCCAAAGAACCCCACCGGAGCCGAGCATGGACACTACTCCCCTTCACCTCGGAATTCTTTTTCGGCTTAGGGAGTGGGGGACTCCGGATGCTCGGCTCGTAATTGTTACATCTCACATCTGGAGAGCCCTCGACTCCGGACAACGAGTCCGGGGGACTTGAAGATCACCTCTTTTGAGATTCACACAAAAGACCTCACCCCCTAGCAATGTTTTCTTGATCCACTCTGTGGAACGGGATGTACTCTTTTCTTGACCGAGGATTTTTTTTCCCATCCTCATGGGTTTTTTCCTCGGCAAGTTTTTAATGAGGCATCCCTTGTGGGGTGGATCACACCTTGACGGGATTGTGGGAGGATTTCTGAAGACGACAAACAGAATGCAGATGATGACTTCTTCTTGCCTTGCCGTTCCGGACAGCGAGTTGGCATTACATTTCAAACTTGTGGCGTTGTTTGCCTTACTTCACCGTGCTCGGCACAGCGAGTTGGCGGTGCCCTAGAAACCAAGGAAGACGGTGTCCTATGGTGGATTATTGTTCTACTTCCGCTTCACCTCGAGTTCCTTTCGGCTCGGGAAGTGGGGGACTCATGATGGATACCCTGGACAAGGGGTATCTGGTCTTTGTATAATATTAGTCGAGGAGGTCTAGTTTGTGCGATCGGCCCGTTAGTCGTTTATCAATTACTTATTTAGAGCGGCCCAGCCTGTTGGGCCGGCCCATTGGTCTTTGTATGTAAACCCTAGCCCTATCTCTCCCATTATATATACCCCTCTTCTGGGAAGAGGGATTGGGGGATGGAGCTCATTCCATCAAGGGGACGGACGTTCTGAATCATATTCTAACTAGCACGATATAACTCTCGATCTACTTGACCCCATATTTGTGCACTCTTCGATCTAGTTCGATACTCTTTCGCCTAGTTGCCTAGGCCCCCGGGTTCCTTAACCCAACACATGTTTAGCTTCGTACTAGCCTTCCTAGGTAAATCGTTTCCTTAGGGTTTTTTAAATTCATATCCATCCACAACCATACTATGATGTGCGGGTAAGTATTATTTTCTGAATAATAAACCAAACTCTTTTCTTTGTTTTAATTTCTTGTTTTCTAACGATCATTCTCATCTGCTAAAGAAATAAAACTTCTTCATCCATCTAGGTTTGCAGCCCCTTGATCAGTGAATCGGATATCGGGTAACCTGTTTTGTTTTTCATATCGTTTCTTTGTAATATAACATGATCAACAAGTCGTCATGGGTCATTGTGAAGTGTGGATTCATTCTACGGATGGTAACTTCTCAGAACGATTACACATACTTAGTCAAGTAGGCCAGTACTAGGCAACAAAAATTGTACTCCCCCGAAACCCGGCCTATCAGAATTAATTAATTTAAAATAATTAATTTATTACTAAGACGGATTCGATGGAAATTATAAATATGCTTCGTTTGACAATAAGGTTTATCAAATTAGTTTATTACTAAGACGGATTCGATGGAAATTATAAATATTCTTCATTGTGTAGGATTTGACGGATCAAATCTAACGGTGCGATCGAATTTAGATTTGGAGCCCGTGTGCCCGAAAGTACATTTCGCCAGATACGTTAAGTTAATACGGAGCCCAAAACCCCAAAAAAGGTATAAATATACTCCTTACACGCCCAAAACCCTCACGCCTCCATAATATTGTTACTTAAACTCTCTATCTCTCTCTCTCTCTCTCTCTCTCTCTCTCTCGTGTCTCTCTCACCGACCGTAAATAGCATCAAAGGACCAGGGACAGCAACAGGAAAAGAAGAAGAATTGAAGAAGAAGAAGAAGAAGAAGAAGAAGAAGAAGAAGAAGAATAAAATAAGGAAGAACAAGGAAGAGGAATTCGTCATCCGATTCTACGTCACTAATACTATCTCGGTAATCCTTAAGCGTTGAATTCGAGGTGACTACGTGGACATCTAACGTATGGTTATTGTCGTAGGTTTGAATCTTACGTTCGTAGAATCGTTACGATTGATCTATTTGGACTTTACGTGGAATAAGCCTTGTTTATGTCGTTTATGATTCGAGAAGCATGATTTGATTTAGGATTGTTTAAGAGCTTGTTACATAATATTTGATTATTGATTTAGAACCTGTTGAAGCCTTGTTTTTATAGAATTGATGTTGTTTGATGGGTAAAAACGATGCTGGTTCAAGTCTGGTGTTTGCCGTGACGAACGGTAGGCAGGTACCATCGACATGGTACCTAGCTACCGCCACCTGCCACGTTTTCACCTCGCTCTGTTGGTACCTGTCACCAAACAGCACCTAGGTACCGGGTGCACGGTAGGCCCTATCGCCTGGTCGGTAGAGGCTACCGTGACATGCCTACTGATTGAGTATCACAGCTGACACGGTCGGTACCCACGTACCATGGGACGGTACCCTGGTATCGTGGGGTCGGTAACCCCTACCGCCAAGGGTACCGTGAGGTACCTGAACCGGTTAGAAATCTCTGCTTGCATCGAGGATCGATTTCGAGGCTTTGTGTGCTGCATGACGGTATACATGGGTGTCAATACCTAGTGTTAGGTCGATGTTTGATCAAGTTGAATATGTTGATTGACTCGTGGTTGATGTATGAATATGTATACCATGATTTGTTAATAAATAAAGGGTGAAATACCTATAATGACCTATAGGGGCTGACTTGAATGGATTAGTGGCAAGTTATGCCATAAGTTAGTAAGTTAGAGTCATGTGGTACTTGCTGGGTGCAATGGTTGTCCGGGTAAAAACGTGAACACGGGGATCTAAGAACTATCGTTCCGAAAGGGACATGGATCTCACCCACCCAACGAGGAACTCCCGAGTTGGTTTGAGCTTGACCTTCGTTCCGAAGGGGAAGGTCATGACTCCCACAGGCAAGTCGAATAGAGTTATGCTTTAACCTAGCATAGGTTAAGAGCCAAGTACGGAAAGAAAGTAAGTAAACAAAGAGGAAAGAATCTGTTGTTATATCCTTCACACTGTATCTCTTGAGTGATGATGTTACTGTTTATGCACGTTATATCCTGTATGATGTTATGATTATGTTGAGCATGTTGTGTGCATGATATCGTATGATGATATGGGCTAGTGGGATCATCAATGGGTATAGCTGTATGTTAGATATTTCTCACTTAGCTTTAATGCTGAGCATGTAGCCCTTTTTCCTATTTGCTACACGTAGGTAATCCAGGAAATGATGAACTTGCAACCAATCCCGGAGGGCGATGAGGAGGCTGAGATGTGCGTGGCAGTGTTCGATGGTTTTGAACTCTTATTTATCATTTTAATAACTTATTACTATTTCGAGCATGATTCCCAAGTTGTGTTTTAAATTACGAATTAAGCTTCCACAACTGTTTTGAATATTACTCTGATGAATGTTAAACTACGTTTTGGAATGTTTATTTAAATTATTTTGAAGAGTCAAATAGTGTTTGAATAACAATTTAGTAGCAACCCGGTAAGCTAATCCGAGGATTTGGGTTATGCGGGTTGGGGTGTTACATTTTGGTATCAGAGCATATGGTTTTAAAACCGATCTTCAGATCATAAACAAATGGTTTCCAAAAGCTGCACCACATCTCTTGCGACTCATCAGCCCCGGGAAGGTAATAAGTTTATAATTTTGATTGTTATGTGATAATGACTTATTAGGAATTTATGTGTATAACTTAGAATGAGTGACGCATCGATGCACGCTCACGACAACACCCAACAGGTGGGTGGCGGCCCCGACGAAGTTAAGATGGAGGCATCTAGCTTTATGCCTCAGCAGAATGCTGGGCAGCCCAATGTACCGCTGAATGCGGGGAATAACCAGAACTTTGGGAACCCGCCCGAGAATGTCATACCTGCTTTCATGGCCGAGTTCTTGCAACAAATGGCAAATGCGCCAATGTTCCAACAGCCTCCGCCGCCGTAGCGACAGATCACCTTCAAGACGTGAAAGAAGGGATGTCCAGAGGCGGTGAAAGGAGACTCCAGCCCAGTGGAGACAAAGACAAAGAAAAGCTTCCATTCCTTAGTGGACCCATTCTCGTCGCTAGCGAAGAGCTTGCTTATCCGTTGGGAGAGGCAAGCGTATGAGGCCTAGTCCTTATGGCCCTTCGCCAGTTTGAAGGTGAACAAAAAATGGTCTAAATTAGGAGTCACCCCTTTTTCCTAACACACCATCATGAAACCCGCTATGTATCTATGGGAGTTAGGGATTAACTAGCAGGGGAGGAGGTCAACCTCGTTCAAGAAGTCTACGAGCAGAGGCTGTTACGGGAATCACAGACCCCCTCTTTAGGGAAGCGAGATGCATAGTAAAGAATCCCTTGGGGGCGTCCAAGGCGGTCTCGGTCTTACTGGGGCGCCAAACCTCAATGGCGGGTCTAACCATGTCAGTAGAATGGAAGCCCTGATCCGAGATTTGACAGTGGCATAAGGCCATGATATTTTCCTCGAGTTCAAGCCTAGGGCCCAATAGCTTTAGCGTTGGGGAGGGAAACTATTTCCTTAATTTCCGCCTTCCCCTACCAAAGGAGCCGTCGATGACGGTTGTGGCGATCCGGATGGGCCCTAAGCCTGACCAGGGTTAATTAGTTGGTCTACCGGATCAGGACTAGAAGACGGGATTGAGGAATCGGAATTCGAAGGAGACATTGTAGTGAAGGATGAACTAAC